GGGGGACTCTCAGCCCAGTGGCAGGGGTGCAGGAGGGCCATGGACCCCAGGGTTGACTGAGGAAGGGTGCAAGAAAGTGGGTGTGGACTTAGAGCAGAGGGTTGGCGTGGGGACCCATGGCTTCCCTTTGTGGAGTAAAGATGAGGGAGGCTACCTCCCACAGGAAACAGGCTGGGCCTTGGCAGAAGAGAGCAGGTGTGAAATTGGTGCTGAGCAGAAAGCCTCCCGGGGCGCTAGGCAGCACCGTGGGTCCCCCGGTTTCCAACTTCCGTCTCCTCAGCAACTCCGGGGCAGGTGGACAGTGAGCCAGCCCCAGGTGGGGACAAGAAGACTGAGGCTATGGCAAAGGTAGCCAACTAGTCAGGAAGAGGAAGCCGGCAGGCCAGGGGAGAGGGGAGGCCCGGGGCTTGGAGAAGCCATTGGGGTCAGAGTGGGCCATGAGGGTGAATGCTGTATAAACTGGTCTGGGGTGGGGGGTGAGGAAGAAACCTTTTTGTTTGTTTGTTTAAGAAACCTATTTTTAAAAACAACTCCATAAACAGAGTCACAAGGCGAAGGAAAGACTGTTGGAACATCTATTCCAAACGCCTATAATATTTAACAGATATCTGGTTCCCATAATATACAAAGTTACTAAGATCGTCATGATTAATGCCCACCCAAATACATTGTTTAAAAAGCTCTTAAAAGGTAGTAGTGTGGCTCGGGATTTGCCTGGCAGAGTGGAACATGTCTCAGGTGCCTCTGATGAAGAAGCGCCAATGTCCAATAGCTCTCTCGATGACTTAACTGAAATGCCTGAAGGGTACTGGAAAGGTTGGTGCTGCAAGTCTGCCCAGGGGCACCGCAGAAGAAAGGCCTGGTGATCTGTGTCCCCAAAATCAGCCACTGAAAACCCTGTGGGACACAGCTCTCCTCTGGCCCATCCAGGCCACCACGAGTCGGAATGGACTCACTAGCCACTGGGTTTTGTTGTCAATCTTCTGGGGTTCAGCTCTCCCCCTACAGTGGGATTACTACTGCCTTTCAGAATCCAGTGAGATCGTGTCCATCTACTTAGCTCAGTGGGTGGGCAAGGCTGTGACAATTTGGATAATTCCTGCTAGGCAGGCTACAGGATTGTAGATATACACATCCCAATCTTGGCACCCCTCCACTGGTCTCCTGGGCGCTTCCCGGAGAAGGAGCTCCTCAGGAGGGTTTCATGGGCGCCCTTGGGGCTGGAGAACAGCACCATCCTTTTGTTTCTTCCAGATGTTGCAGTGGCCGCCCCCTATGGGGGCCCCAGTGGCCAGGGCCAGGTGCTGGTGTTCCTGGGTCAGAGTGAGGGGCTGAGCTCCCGCCCGTCCCAGGTTCTGGACAGCCCCTTCCCCGAAGGCTCCGGCTTTGGCTTCTCCCTGCGAGGTGCCACCGACATCGATGACAACGGATACCCAGGTGCCACCAGCTGGGCCCGCGGGCATTAGCTGCAAGTGCTAAGAGACAGCTTCAGGGCAGAGGGCTCTGATCCATGTGGCGTGGGATACGAACATGCTAGGCCAAACCTCCAAATGGAGGAGCCAGTTTGGGGGGCCCTGGGGACATGAGGTGAAGACCCATACCCTCTCTAATTGCCAATCCTGATCTCCACCCCCACGATCTGTAGACCTGCTGGTGGGAGCCTACGGGGCCAGCAAGGTAGCAGTGTACAGGTGAGGACTGGCCCCAGAGGCAGGGTGGGGAGGGCCCCAGGATGTGGCAGTGCATGCCATCTGGGAGGGCAGGTCAGGACCACAGGCCACAGTGGTAGACCCCACATCCCATCAGAGCCCAGCCGGTGGTGATGGCCAATGTCCAGCTGCTGGTTCAAGATTCGCTGAACCCTGCTGTGAAGAACTGTACCCTGCCCCACACCAACGCAGCAGTGAGCTGGTGAGGAGGTGGGGCTAGGGGTAGGGCCAGGCAGGACCTGGGCCTGCTCAGGGGTGCCTCTGGGCCCTGATCCCCCACTTGAATCTCCGCAGCTTCAACATCCAGATATGCGTGGGAGCCACAGGGCACAACATCCCCTCGAAGCTTCGTGAGTGGCAGGGCAGGAGGGAGGAAGGGTCACGTTCCCCCAAGGCTGGCCTGGGAAGCCCTAACCTGCCACTCGCCCGCCCTGCCAGGCCTGAATGTTGAGCTGCAGCTGGACCGACAGAAGCCACGGCAGGGCCGGCGGGTGCTGCTGCTAGGCTCTCAGCAGCCCAGCACCTCCCTGGAGCTGGACCTGGGCGGGAGGCGCAGTCCCATCTGCCACACCACCAAGGCCTTCCTCCGAGTAGGCCAGGCCGAGGGGGGTGGGCACCGAGGGCCAGAGGTGGGATGTGCAGTGGCGAGATGGCCTGACTCTTGGCCCCTGTACTCCCCCAGGACGAGGCTGACTTCCGGGACAAGCTAAGCCCCATTGTGCTCAGTGTCAACGTGTCCCTGCAGCCTGAGGCTGGAGTGGCCCCTGCTGTCGTGCTTCACGGAGAGACCCACGTCCAGGAGCAGGTGGGGGTAGGGCCAGGTGGGGATAGACACAGGCACTGGGGGGGCAGGGCCTCTGTCAGACAGTCAGGCTGACGATTAGTGCCCGGATTATGATCAATCCCTGCCATCGAGGCCATGCTGACTCACAGGGTAGAACTGCCCCTGTGGGTTTCCGAGATTGTAACTCTTTTGCAGGAGTCGAAAGCCTCGTCTTTCTCCTGCAGATCAGCTGGTGGTTTCAAACCGCTGGCCTTGCGATTAGCAGCCCAATGTGTGACCCACCACGCTCCTTGTCTGCACTGTAGCGAGAACCCAATGATGTCTGCTAGCCGTATCTAAACCTTGAGTCTCTGTGGGCAATGCAGGGCCCCCACAGCTCCATAGCCCTTACACTGGTGGACCACCAAGGTTTGGGTGTGAGCCCATACACCCTGCTGTCAGCACCCAGACAACCTCCCAAAGCTCAGAGCATCCTTAAACCCCTTTTCATCCACAGCTCTCCTTTGCCTTACCCCCACCCCCACTCCTTCTGCTCTGCCCCCTCCAGACCCGCATCATCCTGGATTGTGGGGACGATGACCTGTGTGTGCCCCAGCTCCAGCTCGCTGCGGAAGTGTGAGGAGCACCCTCATCCCCAGTTCCCACACCCGAGCCTCAGCCCCTCCTCTCCCTCAAGACCCTGGGCCTGGACCAGATCCCCCAGGCCTCATCCCCGCCCCCCTCTCCCTGCCGCAGGAAGGGCTCCCCACTCCTCATTGGGGCTGACAATGTGCTGGAGCTGAGGATAGATGCCGCCAACGGAGGCGAAGGGGCCTATGAGGCTGAGCTGGCCGTGCATCTGCCCCCCGGCGCCCATTACATGCAGGCCCTCAGCGACATGGAGGTGAGGCTCTACCCCTGGGACCTGGGAAGGGCCGGAGCCTTGACTCCCATTTCACTGAGACTTGCTGTCCAAGCTGTCATGCTTTGGCATGTTCAATTTACTAATGGCACACAACTCGGGAACTATAGCCCAAACCACAAATAGCACAGGGACCGAATGTTAGTTAACAGAAACCTCTGTCACGTTGGGTGGCTTTCCTTCCCATCTGTTTTTCCTTTTCCTTGATGGTGACAGATTCTTACATAGATATTAATACATATATTCTTAAATAGGTATTAATTCTTACACATATATATTCATATCACTCAAGGGGCTTCAAAAGTTTATGGGAAAATGGAAATTCATTTTAAAAAGGACAAACTGGGTGTAGAAAGGGGGACTTGATCACAGGGAGCTACATATAACCTCCTCTCTGGGGGATGGGCAACAGAGGGGTAGGTGAAGGGAGACGCCGGGCCTTTATCCCCAAAATCAGCCACTGAAAACCCTGTGGGACACAGCTCTCCTCTGGCCCATCCAGGCCACTACGAGTCGGAATGGACTCACTAGCCACTGGGTTT